TAGACACTTCTGGCTAGGGAAGGGGTTGTCATGGCCCTAGGCTAGCCTAGCATTTTGAAAAAAGCATGGTTTTACAATTTCTGACCTGAATCTGATCTATTTCTGGGAAGAAAATGGTTGTCCAGGATGAGGCAATGGGAAAGAAGATGAAAAGATGACCTCCTGTCATCTAAATGCATTAGTACTTTGCCTCCCTGTTGCCATTGCCGAGTTGTTAGTTCCACTGGCAAGTGCTTAGATTGCTTTAAATTTGTTTCTTTTTTGATAAAAGCCATATTAAGAACCCAAGTCCACTCCTCTGCCCTTGCATCCATTTTATCCTTTTAAGTTTTTGAGAGCTGTTACAGTGCAGAACAGCAGTGATGCCACAGGACTGAATTACAGAAGTCATTTGAAGGTAGTTTTAGGTCCTACAGTTTGAAGCCTGTAGATCTGTTAAGGTTTTGCTTTTGTTTTTATATAACTTGAAAAGACAGTACAAGAAAGGGGCTTTTCCAGTCTTGTCTGTTTTGATGTCCTCTCCCTGTCCTTACCTGAGTACAAAGATATCTTTATTTTAAAAATGGTGGCAGGGCCTTGAGTTCCCCAGATGACTGTTACACTGTCATTGTTCTGGTGTTGCATTTTGACGTTCACTGTACTGGTATGGTTACTGGGGAGCAGGTGTGGGAGACTGAAGTGGATTTACCTGTAATGACTGGTTGGGGGATTTTTGTCAACTTTCTGAAATAAAATTTATTTGGGGAAAAACAACCTACCTCTGTTGTCCATGTGAGTCTTGTCTTCATTGTGCACATTCCTACCAACTGCTGTTTCTTGCAAACTGACCTGTCACAGGAAGCAGCAAGTACACAGACCTCCTGCAAGCCTTTGGGTTTCTCCAGCAGCAGTTAATTTCTAAAGGATTTGAGAATTCCCAACTCAGAAGAGGTACCGACTTGCACAGGCTTCTCTCTGGAGTGAAACCAGCACAACAAGCGAGGCGTCTCTAATACAGGTTACCATTTGTTGCCTTTCTTCCCCCTGCTTCCTAATTATATCCCTCTGTGTGAAGGAACTTTGAGGCTGTTAGTGAAACAGCACTGGTGCTCTGGAGTACAAGATCCAGTTTTTCACCTTGGCTCCATGTAAGATGTAGTACATTTAAGACAAATGGAACTTTCAGTTTTGTGCTTTAGAGGAAATTTTAAATTGTTGCGAAGATGAGTTGGGAGTGGCAGATGCTTACTGAAGAGAGTGGTTAGGTATTTACTGAGCTGCTGTCAGATCTTCTCTGCTGAGCCTGCAAGCCTTTTGTCATGTGGTGGCCAAGTGGGATGCCATGTAACAGGATCCAGGGCACATTAGTGCTACATAACTCGTTAGTGTTTCTAGCGAGAATTTCAAGAAGATAAATTCTCAGATCTTTGCATAATGATTAGCCTCTGCAAGTTCTTGCCTGGCTGAATATTTGAGTATGTGAAATCATACAGCTGTTCTCATGCGGTAGGTTGTCGTTGGGTCTGGGCTGCTTCACAGCACTGCGTGTGCAGAGCCGGCGTGTTTGTTCCATTTTTACTTCTGGGAAATGGGCTAAAGTTGAGGTGTTGCAGGTAGTTGGGTCTGAGCCCATCTTTTGTGTGTGACAGATGCATCGCTGGTAAATCTATAATTGCCTGTAGCAAACTGCATCAGACGTTTCCAGCCTCTTCCACCCACTTGTCAATGTGACTAACGATTTAATTATCACACTACTTAACGCAGCGCGTGAACGTTCCTAAGTAAGGTATATCTTTGCGTATTCCCCCTCCTGCTATGCCAACGTAGGCTGCGCTCTGTACAAAGTGCCTGCTGCAGCTGCCGTTTGCGTACCCGCCTGAGGGGATCAGCATTTTAGGCACAGTTGCTTATTTCTCACAAGCTGCTCAGGTGTGTGAGAAATAACCCAAATGTACAACACCTGTGTTGTCCCTTAACTGGCAGATCAGGGACTTTTGACTCAAACTAGTTTGGCAACTGGTTGGTGAGATCATTAGGGGATTCCTGCCTGTGTGTTTCACAGGGCCCTGCAGCAGAGGTTCTGGGCGCTCTTCACCCCTGCCAGTTCATGTGATGTATTTCTGTCTGTCTCATCTTTAGCTGCGTCCCTCTGCTGTACTTGCTGAAACCAGGACACTCTCAGATGCCTGAGATGGCCGTGCCTTTAGTGAACAAAGTCTCTGGGAAATGAACTTCCTATACATTCAAGGTGGCTTGTTGGGAAGGAGAGAGCATAAACCTGAAATGGATACATCTTTCACAGGAGAAAAACAGTTTAATCTGGTGAAGACTGCAGGAGTTCAGGGTTGGTAGTTTTGTCTGCTGCCCCTTCTCCACCTGAAAAATGTGTCAGGCTTGTGCTTGTTCTATTGTTCCTCCCTCAAACCACCACTGGTGGAGGTGTGGTGGCTCTGGCAGGCCTGCCTTTGAGGAAGGTGGAAGAAGCAAAGGATTTAGAAAAACTACCTGTTGGCATTTCTTTGACCTCTTAGTAAACCTGAAACAGGTGAGCCCAAGCTTTTGCTGCAGCCCTAAAATACTTCTGTTTGCTCAGCAGTGTTTGTAGGAAGCCTGTTTTGCTTTGCGCTGGAAGTCTCTTGCCCTGGCAGGAGTTGGGAGTTGCTCTGTTTCAGCTGCAGCTGCAGTGACTTAAACTTTCTGCAAAATGGTGATAATTGATGCCTGATTGCTCCTTCTGTTGCTAGAGGTCTATGTGGTTTATCACCTTTAAAGTCAATTCGTTAGCTTCTGCACTTCCAGCTTGCTGACACAGCCTGCCAGAAGACCCAGGTGTCCGTCCCAGTGATATTCGCTATGAGGATTATCTTTAGCTCGTGTTTGGAGAAAGCCTCTGTGTCCTGAAGGACATATCTGACTTGCTGTATTTCAGTTTTTGCAATAAAATGTACATGTTGAATAACTTCCTTTGGGGGGCATGTTACTCAAAAAAGGCAATGACAGAACCACGCTCACATTGTTCTATCTCACTTCTGTGGTTTCCTGTCACTTAATTTGCTTTCATAGCTGATATTCCTGAGGTACCTTTTCCATGAGCTTTTAAATCAGTTGCATTATGTGATAATAAGCTGCACCAGGAGGTTCTGCTGGAATTGTGAGATGAACTTGGTTTTTCTGGGTTATATGGGGGATGCTGTTCCTACAGCTGAGGCAGGCAGAGAGGAGGGTGTGCTCGTGTTTTCGACCTATATCCCATTGCAGCGCTGGTCTGTCTGCTGCAGAGCTTTACGTGGTAGGGTTTTCTCACCCATACCAGCTGCTTGGTCTTTTATTTCCCCCTGAATATACTCTGTTTGCATAATCTTCCCCCAGGTGGAAGATATTTGCTACACATATGTAACTGGAATCTCATGGTGTTGTCTTCTTAATTATAATTAATCATGTAGATACCTTGCCATTTCTTCCTTCTCAGCCTGGGCTGCACTTTCCTTGAGTTAGTCAGATAATCAATGTACTGTCTTGACTCTGAAAACCACGAACGAGATCTTTGAGCAGATACTTGCTATGATTGGGTTTAAATGACAGTGTTCCTACCCTTATCCAAGTTCATTGTTCAGTAACGGTTTTGCAAGAGGCAGCATGGCACATTGCCTCTAGGTGGTGCGATTTCTTTAAATACTTGAGTAAAAAGTTCAGTGTAAAATCGGTTGTGTATTCTTCAGTCATATTCCGATAAACCCGAGTGGGCAGCAGCTGTTACTTCCCGTAGGGGCATCTTGCTGTGAGAATTACTGTCCTGCTTTTTAAAGCATAGTAAAGGCAACCCTGTGGGATGGCTAAACCTGATTTTAGCTACTACTGTGATCATTTTATGGAATAATTTGTATGATACTATAGATAATAATTGGCAAGATAATTCTACTTTTCAAATCAGAAAAATAAAGATTGACTTTTTCAATTAGTCTTCTGGTTTTCTACAACTGTTCCAGATTCCTTAATGCCATTTCCCTGAGATTTTGCCATCTACATTTTTTAAAAAATTATTATCGTTTGTCAGATGATGTTTTGCCACGTACTCCTCTTGCAGTGGAGGAAGTGAATGATCCTTAGCAGAACACGTCTGAGGTTTTTCATGCATTCC